CGCGACTCCTGGGTGCCTGGGTGTCGGGAGTGCTAGGGCAAATTGCAGGAAATTCCCACGCAAGGCTATTCTTCAGTAGGTTGCAAGGAAGTCTCCAGCGAGAGCGCGACTCCAGAGCTCCGGGAGAGCGATTCCTGCATAAATTGTAAGGAAGTCCTGAGCGAGAGCGCGATTCCTGAATAAAATGCGGGGTCCTGCCTAAATTGTAAGGAAGTCTCAGGCGGGGGCCAGGGGCCCAGTTTGAGCAGGAAGATTTGCCCTGTCAAAAAACAGGGTGCGAGCGTCGAGGGGAACACTTCGATTAAGAAATAATAATATGCACCGGTGGGGGGATCATCAATAATTGTTCTTCCGAAATGAGAATTCAACAACAACAACAACAACAACAACAACAACAACAATCATTTTACCCGAACGCTCAGTGTTCTCACCAGTGCCAGGGTTTTCATGCGACGCGAGACAATACCCCCACTTCGTGGGGGGGCAGGTCAAGCTCTACCAAATATCCAAACGACTCTTCGCGACCACCCAAACCCAGCTTCCCGCCCTATGACGTTGGGACACTTCACTTCGTGGCGTGCGGACGACCGTGGCTACTACACTGGCGTGGGGTACACACCCACAGAACTTGGTCACTTATTCGGGGCGCGCGTGTGCCCAGCATCCTGCAATTGTGACATACAATACATGACACAGACAGACAGAGAGAGAGACAGAGAGCAGACAGAGAGAGAGACAGAGAGAGGAGTTGGTCACATTTTTGGGGCAAGTTCCTGAGATCGTCGTGTTTTTTGTTGGTCTTGCGCGCGCGAATGTCCACTTTACTTTTTTTTGCAAGGGAGTATTGAAATTTGATTATGTTAGAACAAGAAAAAGTAGCTCGCGCGAGCTCATGTAACATAAATGTTGAAAAACCATTGGTTTTGTGGGAGTCGGACAGCGCGCGCGGGATGAAATTTGGACATTTTTTTTTGAAAAACCATTGGGTTTTTGATGTTTTTATGTTGAAATCGTTACGAAACCTAAGGTTCTGGAAGGATTTCGTCTTGCGCGCGCGAATGTCCACTTTACCTTATTTTTTGCAAGGGATTATTGAAATTTGATTATGTTAGAACAAGAAAAAGTAGCTCGCGCGAGCTCATGTAACATAAATGTTGAAAAACCATTGGTTTTGTGGGATTCGGACAGCGCGCGCGGAAGGACATTTTGACAATTTTTTCTTAAAAAACCATTGGGTTTTTGATGTTTTTATGTTAAAATCGTTACGAAACCTAAGGTTTTGGAAGGATTTCGTCTTGCGCGCACGAATGTCCACTTTACCTTATTTTTTGCAAGGGATTCTTGCAATTTGATCAAGTAAGAACAAGAATTTTCATTTTCTATTGTTTTTTGCAAGGGAAAACGAGCGTCAACAAAAAACCGGATCCGGAGCTCATCCACTTTTCTGAAGCTTTCGCGAAAAAATGATGAAAATGTAGCTGCGGCCTAGGCGCGGCGCAGAGGTCGCGCACCAGGGGTCCCAACAATAATAATTCTTTAGAAGGAATAATGTTCAACAACAACAACAACAACAACAACAACAACAACAACAACAACAATAACAATAACAATAACAATAACAACAACAACAACAACAACAACAACAACAACAACAACAACAACAACAACAACAGCAGCAGCAGCAGCAGCAGCAACAACTGATGTTTTATTTTTCGCCAAAAATCAGCCTGCAGTTAGGGGGACGTGCCCGACCGAAGACTGCGCGTTGGCACCGTGCGCGTGCGCCGCGCCCGTGTTCGTGAGGTCCGCCGCCGCCGCCGCGCGGCGGAGCGCCACGTCGTTCGCCCTCGTGCCCGTCGGCACTTCGTCGAGGCTTCTGGGCCTCGCCTGCGCAGTGCACGCTCCATGGTCCGCGGGCTGCGGCTGCACACTGCTCACTTCCAAGCATTCGAGAGGTCTCTGATCTTTTTTTGGGGGGGGGCCAGATCCCATCGTCTCTGATTCTTCGGTCCTGGGCCTCCTCCTGGCCACTGGAGGGCCAGGCGCAAGCAGAAACGAACACGATGAGAAGTGAGCACGATCAGACATGAACGACGTGTAGACCTTCAACGGTGTCATGGGTATCGTTCCCACCAACTCCGGGCCGCGGTTACTACGGCTGGGCCGACGCTCCCCTCCGAGGGGCGCAAGAGGGTGCTGCAGTGGAAGTCCTGTTCGGGGCGCGCCAAACGCGGAGTGCCCCCTCTGACAACGCAGCTCGACCGCCCCCCCCCCCCCCGAGAGGCGCTTTGCTTGGACGAACCCATATCGAGATCGTTCTCTCGGCCGACGCTGTCTCTGCATGGCAAGCTGTTCCTGAATGACCAGATGGTCTTCGTGCCCGTGCTGCTCCCGCTGGCGTCATTCGGCGCCGCCCCCGCTGCTGGCCCCGGTCCGGCGGCGACTGGATTCGTTGCCCCGGCTTGCGGCGCCGAGTCCGATCCCAATTCGTTTGTGGGCGACACGCTGATGCAGGACATCGCATTCGAGAGCGAGATCTCGCTGTTCGAAGAGCGAGCTTTCCCACAGAAATAAAGAAATGTTCATCCTCCTAGTGGTGGTCATGATGTTGATATCCCTGGGTCTCAAGATGGTCATCGTTATCATCATGCGGCCGCTGTTGCGCCTTCGGCGACACGTGCGACGCCTCCCACTTGTCCGATGTGTCTGATGAATCAATCGCTGCTGAGCATGATTGCTTCAGCCTGCGGCTTCATGACTTCACCGAGGCTCCGCCCATGCCCGCATCACTACTGCATGCTCGCGCTGCTGGCCATTCTGCGCCTGAAACTTACGCCCCCCCAGCTGCTTGAAAGTGACATGCATGGCACTGCTGACCATTCACCGGATGCTGTTGCTGATGCTACAGGGCATTCGTAAGGGTCTCACACTCGATCGTCGAGTCCCACGACACCCTGGACGCATTTGGAAACATCCACGCGCGAGCATGATTCTCACTATCACGTCTCAGGTGCTGACCCCATTCTCTCGAGGGGAGTGCAGGAGATTCAGCCCTCGCCTTCCCCACAACCCACGGCTGACAGCCTTTTGCCGAAGAAGAAGTCCACGTTCCTCTGTAGATGCAGGTGTTGTCCGACAGACGGTGTTGAACTGCACGATGCAGGTGGATGCGCGGGAGACAGACCTGCGGTTAACCCCCTCTCTACTTGATGAGCGGCGCGCGCGTAATTGAGACCTGGGTGTGCACCTTCTTGAACGGGTAGTGTCAGAAGCCCCTCTCTTGCGATATTATACCATATTTCAACTTCGCTGCTGCTGCAAGGCTCTCTCTCTCTCTCGTTCTTTCTCTCTCTTTCTCTCTCTGTTTCTCTCTCTCTCTCTCTCTTTCTCTCTCTCTCTCTCTCTCTCTCTCTCTCTCTCTCTCTATATATATATATATATATGTATCCCCAGTACACGTCGACCTCATGTCCCTGGCCGGTGTTGTACGTCACGATTCTGCTGCGCTTCACGGCGATGTTCTTCGCGCTGATGTTGGCGATGGGGATCGTGTCTTCGATTGCGCCTCCAATGCCATAGGAGCAGAATATAGCGACGCTAAAGTTTTTTCGCCTGGCGGGCGCTTGCACTGTACATTCTGATAGTGATGGTCCTGACGGGTACGATGATGACTTCACTGCGATAGTGGGCGACGCCCGCGGCGACATCGCGGGACGTGGAGACGGCGCTTTGAACCAGCGATTTCACAGGCACGTGTACACGCATGAGTGGTACCTGGCGCGTCGTTCCTGCGACGTGCTGACGTTTTTTCCGCTTCATGGCTGCAGTTTGTCTCAGGTGGAGAGCTTGGCTCAGTTCAAGGGCAAGGAGGACAGCGCGATCGCCAAAGTCAACCCAAATTCCAATTTTGACGGCCTGACCGTCGCCCGAACCTTCTCCAGGGGAGCCGGCTTTGACGACGTTTCGCGCTTCAGCGGAAAGTCCCCTCGAGGCGGGGCATCGTCGTAGGGAGGAGCTCTTTTTTGGCGCAAGATGTGGAGATCCCTCGAGATCTACAGCGTCCTGCACGCAGTCATTGGGCTCAAAGTCAACACGACCTTCAAGCCCACATACGCTCACCCTGTTCTCTTCCACAACCAGAGGTGCACCATAGAAGGACTCATGGCGACGGGCAGCAGCGATGAGGCCATGGTGGGCTTGTCGGCGCTCGTCGAGTTCGGCAAGCGGAAAGGCGAAGCCTTTGGCGGCGGCGAAGTGGCGGCAGACGACGCGGAGGACGCATTACAACAGGTGGAAGGGGCTCCGAGGGCAAAAGACGCGGCAACGGCGCTGAGCATCCTCCTACAATGTTCTTGCATGCACTCGTAACTTATACGAGCTATGGCAGCAGTAACCTGGGCAAGAGTGATCCCCCCGGCGACGGCGCCGATTATCGCGGCTGCCAGGGCCGCTGGGGAACTTTACGCCGAGGCGGATGCTGGACTCCACAACGCGAAGGACAAGCTGGGGCTGCCACGCTTACGCGTAGCGCGCGAGGGGTTCAAATTCTTGGTGGAACCGGAGTCGAGCCTCAAGATCGGGGGCGAAGCGTCGGAAGTGGTGCGCTTGTTCTACAGCGAGTTTATAGAGAATGGACGGGGATGCAGGAGCTCGGCTTATCGATCCGTCCGATGCAAGAAGTGGTACAGCGAAGACATAACTCGGTTCCAAGTCGCCATAGTCGATGGGGCGTAGCTCCACAGCGACATGGGCGAGTCCACGACCTACTCCAAGCTGGCGATCGAGAACGCGACGGCGGTGCTCCTCAAGGGCATGGGTGGCGCCCACAAACAGGGCACGCCGCCTAAGGGCCATCTGGAGAACTTGGCACCGCGGACATTGGACAAACGCAAACTCGACGGACAGGGCAAGGGCAAACAGACATGACGAACACATGACAGACTCGACCTGCTGCATTGAAGGATCGCGTTGCTGCCAGAGAATTTGCTGCTACATTCTAGGCCTGACTTAGGTTCGTTCGTTCTTGGGTATCTCAAGGCATTGGCAAGCGCCAAGACTCATCCCATACATTCGTTTTCCTCGAATCAATGATGGGGCCCCCTGGGGCTTCGCCAACGCTGCTGGACGCTTGCCTCTGGACGGCATCCCTCTTGTGATAGATTGTGCACGTGCGCTTCATTATCTGGCAGCTTGCGTTCACGGAGCACGGCCAGCTGACCTCCGCAGAGACAAAGGACAGGTTTCCAGACCGTAACCACTTGTGCTGGGCCCCCTTTCGTCTCGTCGGGCATGGTAATGGTCGTGGTTGCGTTCGCCATCTCGCTGCCGCTGCTCTACATCACCTGAACGAGGCCGTGCCGCCTCGCTCGACCAGGCAGGCTTGCGCGTCCGCTGATCAGTCAGAGTACAGATCGGATTTCCTCGTCTTCGGCTCGGGGCCTCCCGAAGGGGCCGCGCTGTCATCAGCGAATCGGACGCCTGCGGGGCCCGAGTGTTTGGCGATGAAGGGGCACCTTCGGGTGAGCAACGGTTCCGACCTTGATTATGACATGTTTGTTTGATTTCAGGGCTGGGCGGACGCCTCGGGAGCCTGCCAGGTACACGCAGCGCCGCGAGGTTTCGGCCCCGGGCCAGAGGGGTGTCCCCCCAGCCCGCGAGTGACATTGCATTTTGTGTGCAGCCCGATACCAGCGCGTCGAATGCTGCACGGCGCGCGTTCCCCGTAACCTCGCATGGTATAGATGCGACCGTTCGAGGTAGTAGTTTGCGCGAGCATCACACCACGCGCATGGCTGCGTCATCCCGCACACGCGCATGGCCGAGTCCTATCCTATCCTATCCTCCCCCTCTTTACTCCTCCTCCTCCTCCTCTTCTCCCGCTCCTCCTCGCCCGAGCCAGCTCCACGAGGGGGGCCGCCCCTTCGAGGTCTCGGGGGGGGCCTCCTCTCCTCATCCGGCGGCCGTCCAGGATCGGGGGGGGCGGCCCTTGCCATCGGCGGTAAGGGAGGAGCTCCAAGATCAGGGGCAACGGGGGAATGCGCCGAAGTTTCGAGGCCCGAGGTGTTCGGACGTTCCCGGCGGTTTGCCAGCCTTGAGATGCGTTCCGGCAGCTGCGCATCGCTGAGGGCGTTTAGGGCTGCCCGGGTCGTCCCAACGAACGGCCGCCAGAGGCCCGAGTTGTGACACGAAAACCATTGGGGGAAAGTTCAAGGGGGGATGCATCGGCCCCCATTAGCACGTTCATCGCAAATGGGGGTAGCCCACCCCGCCTAGGAACGTGCGGCTTCACTATGCAGACCCTATCGCCGAGCTATCGGCGATTCATCGCCGATTCCAGGTCGACGTATCCCCTGAGCAATTCCCCCTCTGATCTCCTAGACATGACATTTTGCACGGGGATCCTCGGAGAACAAAACACTTGCTCCAGCATAAACGGTCGAAGCTCCCCGTGCATTTTTGGGGTCGGCGCCAGACTCCCACTGGCGGCTCCTCCGGAGCCGTCCCTGGCGCGCTCCGCGCGCCAGGGACGGGAGTCCAGCGCCGACCCAAGAAATCCGCGCGGACTTTCAAAAGCTTGTTTTCATGCCTTTTTTGCTCTTCTCGACCAGGGCTTCTGAGAAACGGGGCGCGACGAGCACTGGAGAGATCCGGGTGCCACTCAACGGCTCGGTGACCACACCGTATGGTGAGTCGGTGCGGTTCTGGGGGACCACACGGTTTGGGAGCCTGGGTCGTTCTCCGAGGACGTCTCGGGCGACTGGGGCCTCCAGGGTCCAAAAGCCGTGCGGCGACGGACGGTGCCACGAGGTATTCGGGCATTCCGAGGTCCGCGCCGTCTCGGGACCCCCACGTGATCGAGGGGGCAGCCCGCCCGTGAAGGCTTGGCCCCCCGGCCGCCCCTCCGCTCGCCGCTCTGCCGAGGAGCTCGAGCGGGCCAAAGGCCACCCCAGGCCCGCGTGCGCGACCTTCGAGAGGCTGCACCGCGAGCACCCCGGCGTGCTCCGCCAGGCCGGCTACGCGCGGTAGCCTGTGGAGCCTGCGCGCAGCTCAGTCCGGTCGAAACGGGGAAGGAAAGAACGGTTGGGTGCTTGGCCCAAGGTGTCCCCAGGAGTTCCAAGGTGGCCCCCGCGGCCTCAAGAGCACCCTTCGCGAGGCTCAGAGGGCCCCGGGGGCTTCAAATAGACCGAAAAGCTAGAGGCACCTAAGGCTGGGGACACTTTTTCAGCAACCCCAAGAGTTGGGACGAAGACCAACAGCATCTCTTGCCAATCTTGAACATGGTTCGCTGTGGGTAGCTCCGCGGACGTTCTCCATTTGATGCACTAAGCCGCCCGCCCAACAGCGGCCGCTGTTGGCTTTGGGCAACGTCTGCTGTTGACAGCCGTAACCCATGCTTTCCATATCCATTTCGGACCTGCCAAGCCGAAGGCGGAATTGCGCGGGTCCCCAGACCTCCGGTGAATTATTCCTACAGGTAGTCATGCCCAAAGGGGTCCTGCCCAAAAGGGGCCTTGCCAGTTCCGTGAAGAGCGTTGTTGGCTGCTGTCAAGTAGCAGGCCTACTCATCACAGCATGGGCGCTGGTTATGCGCGCAAGTGGTGCGTTATGTTATGATGCGAAAGGCCATGCTATGCTGTGCGAGTGATGTGATCATACTATGCGACGTGTTGTTATGATGTGCCGTGCAAGTACGACTCGGCATGAAATGCCACGTAGTGTCATGCTATGGAATGATTAGATATGCAACCATATCCCATGCTATGCAATGCAGCAGTCTTCAATGCTGTGCAAGGCGATGCTTCGCAATGATATGGCACGCCATGTCATGCTATGCTGCGCTACGCTGCGACTCTACGCCATGCAATCCTGCTACGCCATGATGTAGTAGGCGGTGCTATGCTGCGCATTGCTATTACGTGGTGTGTTTCGCATTGCATGGCACCTTGTTGCGTTACACCTCACTGCATTGCATTGTTCACGCATACTTCCAGAATAACCAGAGTACCCATGTTGTGGTCGCGCCGGGCCCGTGTTTCCCCTAAACAGTTTGCGTATACCCATCAGAAATATTAAGAACAAGGCATCAGCTTTCATGGACCCCAGATTCCGCTTAAGCAAATCAGCAATCTTGGCAGGACCCTGGGCGTTTTCTTGGAGCCCCTTTTCTGTTCGTGGAAGGTTCGTATTTCTGGGCCTCTCCTTAAGTCGGGCCTGCCCCTCTACAGGAGGAATATTCAAAAATAGTCCAAAATAGTCTGGGGGCGATTTTTCTGCTATGTTTGACTATCTTTGCTCATGTTTTGACTATGTTTGGTCTTCGCCCAAAAACCGCCTGTAGGAGGACATGCCCGACCTAAGCCTGGACTGCTGGTTGGGAGAACGCTAGGAGTGAGGTCGATGTCAGCCACGCGCAGAGGGGGGAGGGGGGAGGGCTTCTCAGAAGCGCCCCTGCTTCTTAGAAGGCTCGGGCCTCACATCTAGAAGCCCCCCCCCCTCCTCCTCCCCATCCTCCTCCTCCTTAATCCCCCCCTCCTCCTCCTCCTCCTCCTCCTCCTCCTCCTCCTCCTCCTCCTCCTCCTCCTCCTCCTCCTCCTCCTCCTCCTCCTCCTTGCTCTTCCTCCTCCTCCTCCTTGCTCCTCCAACTCCTCCGCCCCCTCGTGCGCACCGCCAGCGGTTCTCGGAGCGCAACCGCCTCTTCGCCCCTCGAGCTGGGGTGCAAGCGCCTCCCACGCCGAACGAGGCAGCCCCTGCCCCCGACACCGGTCCCCCGCCGTGGCCCCCCATCCTGGCCCCGAGAGGAGGAGGAGGGGAGGAGGAAGGAGGCCTCCTCCTCCGCCTCCTCGTCCTCCTCCTCCACCTCCCCCACCTTCTCCACCTCCTCCACCTTCTGCTCCTGCTCCTCCTCCTCCTGCTCGTCCTCCTCCTCCTCCTGCTCCTGCTTCTGCTCCCGCTCCTGCTCCCGCTCCTGCTTCTGCTCCTCCTCCTGCTCCTTCTCCTCCTCCTCCTCCTCCTCCTCCTCCTCCTCCTCCTCCTCCTCCTCCTCCTCCTCCTCCAGGGCCGGCCCCCCATCGTGGCCGCGCTCCGTGTGGCTGCGCAAAGCTGTTTCCAGGGCCTCACACGCCGCAGGGGTGCCGTTTCGATCACAGCGTCGGGGCGATTTCTGGGTCCTGAGGCCATCCAAAAATTACGAAAGTTTGCCAGGAGAAGCGTGAAGTCGAGTTTGTCCCTCTACTGGGGGGATATGCAAAAATAGTCAAACATGAGTCGGGGCAGTATCTTTAGAGTATTTTCGAAAGTGTTGGTGCATGTTTTCGTCCAAAATCCGCCTGTAGGGGGACACGCCCGACCTAAGGGAAGGGGTCGAGAGGTCGGGGGGCAGGCAACCCGAGAAAAACGAGTCGCCAGAGGTCTGGGGCATCGCGTGGGTCTGCGAACTGCCAGACCTGCTTGGCTTCGCGCTCGGCTCCTGCCGAGGACGGGCTGGCAATCCTCGCCCTCCCTCCCTCCTCCAAGAGCCCCCTTTGGCCTGATGGACAAGGTGTCGGACCTCTAGAAGTATGCAAAGACTGAGGGCGGGGCGCCGCGCCTGATACGGCGGCGAGCGAGGGGGGAAGTGAGAAAGAGAAGGCCCTCTCAGAAGGCGGCGGGACTTCTCAGAAGCCCTCGCGCCTTCTGGAAGCGCTCTGTGTCTTCGGGGAGGGCTTAGACAACTTCTCAGAAGACTGGGAGACATCCGAGCCTTCTGAGGAGGCCCGCCCATTCTCCAGACATCTGATGTCGTGAGCTTCTCAAGACGGGGTCCCCAGAGGTCTGGACCTCCTCCCCAGGGCCGGCTCCTCGTCTCGAGTCGTTTTTTGACGGTCCCTGGGCTTGGCGAGGCCTTGCCGAGGCCGAAAACTAAGCAAAAACCTCCGTCTCGAATTTCTCGAGACGGAGGTCTGGGTCCCACTTCCCCTCAGGACTCGCCGCCGACCCATGCTCCTCCAGGTGGACCCCGGTCGGACGGACAGCAGCCCCAATTGTCTACCGAATCCACGAATACGAACCGCGCGGCTGCAGCCACCCGACTGTTTGAGGCAGCGGTGCCGACCAGCTGATGGCAGTGTCGTCTCCTCCTCCCTCCTATTGCTGTTGCTACTGCTGCTGCTGCTGGTCGTGCTCCTCCTCCTCCTCCTTCTCCTCCTCCTCCTCCTCCTCCTCCTCCTTAACCTCATCCTCCTCCTCCTTGACCTCCTCCTCGTCCTCCTCCTCCACCTCCTCCACCTTCTCCACCTCCTCCACCTTCTGCTCCTGCTCCTCCTCCTCCTCCTCCTGCTCCTGCTCCCGCTCCTGCTTCTGCTCCTGCTCCTGCTCCTCCTCCTCATCTTCCTCCTCCTCTTCCTCCTCCTCCTCCTCCTCCCTCCTCCTCCTCCTCCTCCTCCTCCTCCTCCTCCTCCTCCTCCTCCTCCTCATCATCATCATCATCATCATCATCATCATCCTCATTATCATCATCATCATCATCAGCAGCAGCAGCAGCATCATCATCATCATCATCATCATCATCAGCATCAGCATCATCATCATCATCAGCATCATCATCATCACCATCACCATCACCATCACCATCATCTTCATCATCAACCTTACCATCATCCTCATCCTCATCCTCATCCTCATCCGTCCTCCTCCTCCTCATCATCCTCCTCTTCCTCCTCTTCCTCCATCACCTCCTCCTTGTCCTCCTCTTCCACCTCCTCCACCTCCTCCACATTCGCCTCCTCCTCATCCTCATCTTTCTCCTCCTCCGCTCTTCCTCTTCTCGTCGGTACCATCTTCCTCCTCCTCCTCCTCCTCCTCTTCCTCCTCCTGCTCTTCCTCCTCCTCCTCCCTCTCACCTCGTTCCTCCCCCATCCACCCTCCTGCCTTCTAAACACTTCTTTCTCCTCGTCGCACAATGCGATGTCAGTTGAGCGGGCTGTGCGGCCCAGTTGATATTTCAATACGTCATATATGTTCTTGAAGCCTGCATGTTCCAACGGTTCACAATGGTGGAGACGGAGTCGTCGTCAAGATGTCTCAACACCGCGCACACTCGCTTTAAAAGCTTCGAATCAATGTGAAGGATAGCGACGTCTCTCGCGTCAGCGCCGCGCACACTTGGCGCAAACGTTTCCAACAGCTTTGGGATAGAAAGGGGGCGGTATCACAAAAACGTGCCTGTCGTGTTAGCGCCGCTCACATTCGTCGTACTGAATGTGTATCTCGCCATAGCGTTGCGCACATTCTTTTTGGAAGTTTCCAACAGCGGCTTGGATGGACAGCGGCTCCTTTATTCCCAAGTGGGGTTATTGATTGAGACGTCTGAATGGCACCCCGCAGTTGCTGACAAGAGTGAGGGGGCGGCGGGATCGTCAGCAGTCTGCGAGGCTCTGAAGAAGCCATCCGCAGGCGCCTAATTTTTGCAAATTCTACAACGGGCCTTCCGCAGGCGCCGATTTCTTCGTTCAAGCAATGTGGCTGGGTCGCGGGCAGGGTCGCGGGTGGGACGACGACAACAAACAACAATCAACGCAGCAACAACAACAGCAACAACAGTAACAACAACAGCAGCAGCAATAACGACAACAACAACAATCATTTTAAGGTTGATCGCTCCTTCTGCTCACGTGCCAAGCAATACACATATCCCAAACCCTCGGTACCCGCCCTCGTCGTCTTCGATCGTGCCCCCTTGGGGGCATATTTCCCTTACCTGCCACGTGCATGCAGTGCAGCTCTTAAAACAAGGGAAGAAAGGACGGGTGGAAGGGGGAGGGAGAAGAATGGAACACGCAAGAAATTAGCCGGAGGGGGGCAAGGAGCAGAAAACAAGTGGTAGAAGTAGACGGGCAGATCGGGTAGGCAGACCCATCGAGGGCAGGTCGGGAAGGCGGGCCCAGGCGACCAGGTCGAGCAGGCGGGTTGCTGAAGCATGGGGCCTGCATGAATCGCGGGGAAGTCTCGAGCGATCGCCCGATTCCCAAAGGAATCGCGAAAAAAGCCAAAGCGAGAGCGTGATTCCTGACCGCCGAGGGCGCACCGTCTGAATACATTGCGAGGAAGTCCCACGCGAGAGCACGATGCGCACATGAATTGTGAGGAAGGCCCACGCGAGAGCGCGATGTGGGAATAAATTGTGAGGAAGTCTAAGGCGGGAGCCGTTGTTGTTGTAAACATGGGGCCAGGGGCTCAGTTTGAGCCGAGTAAGTTGCCCTGATAAAAAACCGGGTGCGGGCCCCGGGGGAAGCATTTCAATTGAAAAAGTACGATGGTCACCGGAATGCGGGATCAACAGTAATTATTCTTCAGTAGTGAGAGTTCAACAACAGCAGCAGCAACAGCAAAAGCAATATTCATTTTACGATTATTCGCTCTTTTTTTGCCCGCGGGCCATTCAACACGTATATCCCGAACCCTTGATACCCGCCCTTTTCGTCTTCGGTCGTGTCAAGTTGGGGGTATATGTTTTTCTCACCTGCAACTTGTATTTCTTGCAGCCCCTAAAGCAGGGGAAGAGAGGACGGATGGAAGGAAGGGTCAAATGGGGAGGGAGGGACAAAGGGGAGGGAAGAGGATGGAGCACGAGAGAGGGTAGCAGGAGGGGGGCCAGGAACAGACGACACGTGACAGAACCAGACGGGCAGATCGGGCGGGTAGACCCTAACGGGCGGGCCGGGAAGGCGCGTCCAGGCGGCAAGGTCGAGCAGAGGAGATGTTGAAGCGCGCGTCTTGCATTAATGGCGAGGAACTCTCAAGCGATAGCGCGGTTCCCAAGTAAATCGTAAGGGGTTCCACTTCGAGAGTGCGATTCCTGAGTACTGTATCGGAAACGCGGCGCTTGAATGAATGGGGAGGAAGTCCCACGCGAGAGTGCGATTCTTGTACAAATTGTAGGGAAATCCCACGGGAGAGCGCGATGTGGGAATAAATTGTGGGGAAGTACCAGGCGGGAGCCGTTGTTGTTGCTCTTGTAAAACAGGAGCCAGGGGCCCAGTTTGGTGACCCTTCGTTTGTCAGAAGCATTCGAACTGAACAAATATGGTTACTGGAGAGGGGGGCCAACAATCATTATGTTAAAGAAATACGAATTCAGGAACAATTCAGGAACAATAACAACAGCAACAACAATTACAACAGCAACAGCAGCAACAGCACCAACAATACATCTAAATGGGTTCGCTTATTTGTTTGCGTGCCAGACAGCGCGTATATCGCAAACCTTCGATACCCGCCCTCTTCGTCTTCGATCGTACCCCTTTGGGTTATATCTTCTCACCTGCAACGTGTATTTCGTGCAGCCCCTAAGACAGGAGAAGATAGGACGGATGGAAGGAAGGGACAAGGGGCAAGCGGGTTGTTGAAGCGTGCGTCTTGCATGAACCGCGAGGAAGTCTCAAGCGATGGCGCGATTCCCACATACATCGCAGGGAAATCCACAGCGAGAGCGTGATTCCTGAGTGTCGAGGGCGCGGCGTTTGAATAAAGTGCGGAAAGTCCCACGGGCGAGCGCGATTCCTGTATGAATTGTGAGGAAGTCCTGGCCGAGAGTGCGATGTTGCAGTAGTAAATTGTGAGGAAATATCAGGCGGGAGCCGTTGTTGTTCTAACTCGGGCCCAGTTTGGTGACACGCAGCTTTCCTTTGTAAAAAATAGGGTGCGAGCCCCGGGAGAAGCAGTTTAATTCAACAAATGCAATACTTACCGGGCAGGGGGGATCAGCAATCATGATGTTTTAGAGATCAGAAGTCAACAATTACACCAATCCACACCGCGGAACGTCACTTCAGCCACGCGCCCAGGGACAGTGAATGACCGTTCGGCCCCCTCGTTCTGACCATAAGTTTGAGTTCGTCAGCTGACCACCAGCTACACGGACGGTGAGCGGTTCCTTCCAAAACTTGGTTATCGCTCGAAATGTTTTTAAAAAAAAATGTTGATCCAAAGGCAAAAGCTTGCGGAAAATCTACACGGATAAAGGGCGGTCCCGTTTCGCATTGAGGCTCTCGTGCGTGGTCTCCCATTGTTTAAAGCATGATGATCGTGCACCGCAGCGCTCCCAACAGCTAGGGTGATGGAGGACGGCGCCTTTTCAAAGAAGGGCGTTGGCTTGAATGGCAGGCCCATGGGGGGTACGTCTTTCAAGGGGGGGGGCACCCGGCAGTGAACAACAATGCTTGCAGGAATTTGTGACGAGGGGATTTGGGAGGAGGGTGTATTGCTGCATCGCTGATGCACCCTAGGTTTACTCTGGTCCTCCTCGTCCTCCTCTTCGTTCATACTTCTCCCCACCTCTTCCACAGGCACCACCCGAACCTCCCCTTGGGTGCGGCTTTGACTAGAATTTCTCGAGGGAGCCCAGCCAGGGCCACGAGAAGCCCCCCAGAGGCCCAAAAAGATAACGAAAAGCGCCCCCACAAACCAGGATCCTCTCACCTCGATGCTCCTCAGCTTCTCCCCCTGCATACCACGAGTCCGCTCAAGATCATCCCCCAGCTCGCTGTTCATCCTCGCTGGTTCTCTCCCTGGCCGATGTTTAACGGTCGCAGGGCACGAAATTAGCCCCAAGAGGCCGGAAGCGAGAAGCAATTTTCTGGTGTGATTTGTTTTACGCCCATCAGAAATCTCAAGAGAAAGCATCAACGTTCATGGACTCCAGATTTCGTTCAAGAAAATCGAGAATTCGGATTGGACCTTGGGCGTTTTCCTGGAGCTGTACCCGGGCCAACTAATACTGGTTCAGAAGACGTTTCTAGGGAAGTCCGTGCTTGGCCTAAAATTTGCTCGCAACTCTAAGCAGGGGTGTATCTTCGTTCCTCGTTGTCCTCGCCGCCTTCCTCCTCGCCCCCTCCGCGCGCTCCTCGCCTGGCGGGCGGCACGAGGCCCAGCACCCCCCCCGAGAGCCGACGGCGCTCGGAGGGCCTTCCTCCGCCGGCCGCCGTCCTGGCCGCCGCGCCCCTCCCCGTGCGGCCTCGGCGGCGAGCGAGGAGGCTACGTTCAAGTCGAGTCGGGCCTGTCCCTCTACAGGGGGAATATTCAAAAATAGTTCTAAAATTGGGGAACTGTGTTTTGCGCGTTTTTTGACAGTTTTGGACTATGGTTTGAATGTTTTTTATTTTTCGTCGAAAATCCTCCTGCAGGGGGACACGCCCGACTGAAGGCTACGTGTTCGAGGTTCCAGGTCTTCGGTCGTCTGCGTCGGCCCTCGGCGGCTCCCGGAGCCTCGGGGGGGGCCTTCCGGCAGCTGCGCGCCTCGCCGAGGGCGTGCCGGGGGCGCAGGGGGTCGTCCCAGCCGGCCGCCGGAGCCCCGAGCCATGGCCCGAAAACCCAAGTTCGGCGGCGCGCCGAGAGGGCAAGTGAGAAGGAGAAGACCTTCTCAGAAGGACCCAGACCCCCTCGAGGAGCGAAAAAATCACGACGGGAGGTTTTTGCATATTTTCGGCGCCTGGGGGCCCCCACGGGCCCTCGGGACCGTCAAAAAGCGACTCAGGATGAAAAGCCAGTCCAGGGGAACGGGTCGAGACCTCTCAGGGTCGACGTTACGAAAAAAATTATCCCGGCAAAGCAACCTAACAGCGATGTGTAGGAGCATATCTGGAAGCATTCCCCTTAAGATTCAGATGAGAATCCAGTTGTAGAATTCTGCTGTTCTCGCAGTCGTAGTCGCATTCGCGATGACAGTCGCAGTGGCAACGGCAGTCGCAGTCACAGCCTCAGCCTCAGCCTGCCTCAGCCTCAGCCTCCGCCTGCCTCAGCCTCAGCCTGCCTCAGCCTCAGCCTCAGCCTGCTTCAGCCTCAGCATCAGTCTGCCTTCGGCCTCGGCCTCAGCCTCAGCCTGCCTCGGCCTCAGCCTGCATCAGCCTCAGCCTCAGCCTCAGCCTGCCTCAGCATCAGCCTGCCTCAGCCTCAGCCTCAGCCTCAGCCTGCCTCTGCCTCAGCCTCAGCCTGCTTCAGCCTCAGCCTCAGTCTGCCGTCGGCCTCGGCCTCAGCCTCAGCCTGCCTCAGCCTCAGCCTGCATCAGCCTCAGCCTCAGCACGAAGCGACCCAGCTAGAAGGACAAAGCGCTGAATGTACACCGATGTGTTCGACGACTGCGTATGTAATGATGTGACGATATACAGACTGAGCCCTTCGTGAATGTCTACATGTTTTTCTGACGCCTACAAACGGCGCTGACGTGTGTGAGAAAATTGTCCGCGCAGCAAAAGCCGGCGAAGCGTGCGGGAGCTCGCATGCTGAGACAGACTACGTCTGCAGACCGCCAGCTGCAAAAGGTTGCGAGCGGCTCTTGGAAGATGTTTACGGAACGGAGCTACGGTGTCTGAAAACATTGGCATCGAAGCGAAGAGCCTCGGAGCCCTGCAGCCTGAGAAACACCGCAGGAACTCGCATACTGAAAAGGAATGCATTGCAAACCGCACGTTGCGAACCCTGCAGGCTGAGAAGCACCGCAGGATGTCGCATGCTGAAAAGCACTTGTACTGCAGAGCGCAAGCTGCGAAACCTGCAGGCTGAGAAGCACCGCAGGAACTCGCATGCTTTCGAACACTACTGCTCGAGACCGCAGCTGGAGAGCGGCAGACCGCAGGCTGAGAAGCACCGCGGGCAGGGAGACTTGCAAAACTCAGATGTCCTGATCGTCTTGGAGGAAGTCACGCCAGTCCGGCGGCTGCCAAGAATCGATGATGCTCCTGGAGCCACCGCCCGTGCTGCCGCCGATGTCCAGGTAGTCGCCATCGGCCCTGAACAGACGGCCGTGCCCCAACGCCAGAATCGCTTGGTTGCGGATTTGAAGCAGCGCTCCGCTCTCAAACATCTGCAACACGTCCAGCTGCCTGCGCGTGAAGTTCGGCTTTGGCTGGCCAGCCTGGGCAGACAGATGGCGGGAAAGCCGCTCCCCCTCGTTGTAGCGCGCGATGGCCTCGGCCTTCTGGTGGTGCAGCCGGCGCCGCTGTTGCCGCAGAGCTTCCTCGGGAACTGCTGCATCACGGCCCTCACTGTGATCAGCTTGCAACGCTTGCGTTAGCCAATCAACGTCGAAGCGCCCTGAGAAGGCCAGCACCTCCCAGATCTGTTTGGTACCGGCCACACGTTGCAAATGGCGATGCCACCGCTTACGCTTCTGGTCTTTCACAAACTTGGCGACGCTACCCAGACCTGCACCCTTGGCCTGGCCACCTTTTCCCGCAGGCTGAGAAGCACCGTGAGAACCTTTCTTACCGCCTGGCCCTTTGTTAGGACCCTGCGGAACCGCATGGCCCCCTTGTGGCGCAGACTTGCCTCTCGCTTTTCCCTTTTCGACATCCCGTTCCTGAAGCGCACGCTGCTGCCGCGACTGCTCGTACTGGTCGCGAGCTACTCTGACCAATTCCTGGCGCTCAGGCTCCGTGAGAACGTAGCGCATGTCGTCGATGTTCTTGCTCCGCAGAAAGTCATGTCGAAGCTTAAGGACAGAGAGAATGGCTCGGCCAGTCTCCTCCTGAGACGCAAAGGCCGCGTCATATTCCGAGCCAGGCTGAGGAGCGCCAGCTGGATCAGTGTCCGCTGGCTCCGTGGACTTCCTCTTTTTGAAAAGCAAGAGACTGAGATGATGGAGGACTTTCGGATCGTACTCCTCGTCGTACCTGTCGTCCCAAAGCTGCCTCAGCTCCCTGTGCAAGTCGTTCGCGCGATTCTGAACGACATCCTCGACGTAGTCGGGATCACCCGGTGAAGTCGGTGAAAGCGGAGGAGTAGAACTCGGCGACCGATCCCAATGCACAGAAGACTCGGCGTCCGCCTGTACGCTGACGTCGGCGTCGGAGACGTTTTCGACGACAATCTTCCGCCTCTTGCTCTCCCCAGGCTGAATAGCACCAGGGAGAGTGAGCACAACCGCCACCGCATCGTGTGCGTCGTTGCGCATGCCACGATCCGTAAAAGACGCGCCAACGGCAATGGAGCAGAAACGGGCGACTGCTCCGCAGACCGCGACGTGGTCGCCTTTGAGGTCGGCCGGAGTGGCATGGACCTCCCAGAGCTTCTCGTCGTTCTGCTGGCGCTGGTAAGCCTCCCGCGCCTCCTGGAAAGTGAGGTTGTCGTCGCCGACTACAAGCAGAACGACTGCCTGGCTCAGATTCTCAAGAATCTTTCCCAGGCAGTCCAGGTGCAAGCGGAGATTGCGAACTGTCCGCTTTCGAGTCTGGATGGTCGGCGGTTTCTTGCCGCACACGATGTGCATGTTGGCGATCACCACGTGGAACTTGTCATGGCCTGGTTTGTTCACCTCAAAATGTGAAATAACAGCATCAATCTCTCGGCCGCTAGGAGGCCTGTAAACTTTGCTGTCTTCGCACAGAGTCAGTTCCGCAGGCTGAGAAGCACCGCGGAACCCCCAGAGAGTCAAGTAGTTGTCGACCTCCGAGAAGCGAATGCCATCACCGAAAGGCTTACTGAGGATCTCTGTCACGTTGATCCCTGCTCGGCGAAAGCCTTCACGGAACGCACCGACCTCGCAGCCACAGACAATATCAGCATCAGCGGTGTCCACTATCGTGGCGCACACCCTTCCGAAGTTAGCGCAGTGAGTGGCCGCCTGCTTACCAGTCATCATGCCCTGCTCGAACCCGAAATTGAACGAGGCGACCGTGAAAGACGCAGGCTGCACAGCGCCAGAGCCAGGCGTCTGTCCACCTTCCTCCGCAGGCTGAGAAGCACCGCGAGGCGGCGCAGGCTGAGAAGCACCGCGAGGCGGCGACACTTCGGACGAGCCTCGCGGAGCAGAGGCTGCGGATGAACGTTGGGTATGGGGGTACGGCCAGGGGAACGCCATTGCAATCGAAACTGAGTGGACTGCAGTGAGTGAATGCAGTGGCACGATTGAATGCAGTGGACTGCAGTGTCACTAGCAATTCCTGAACCAAACACGGCTGTGGCGGAAGGACTACGAAGCGTCTGGCTATTCAAAATGTGGCCCGGGAATGTAGTTCTGGGAACTCGAAGACCAGGAAGTGGCCTACAGTTGGCTCCGGGCATCCAAAATGTGGCCCGGGAATGGAATTCTGGGAACTCGAAGAGCACGAAGTGTGTGACTGTTGCATCCGGCCCTCCAGAATGTGGCCCGGGAATGGAGTTCTGGGAACTCGAAGAGCACGAAGTGTGTGACTGTTGCATCTGGTTATTCTAAATGTGGCCCGGGAATGGCGTTCTGGGATCTCGAAGAGCACGAAGTGTGTGACTGTTGCATCCGGGTATTCAGAATGTGGCCTGGGAATGGAGTTCTGGGAAGTCGAAGAGCACGAAGTGTGTGACTGTTGGTGAAAAACGAGCCCGGCACCCTGCCGCCCGGCAACTCCCCAACACCTGCCCGGACCCCCCTGTGGAGTGATCTGTGAGCTCTTTTGAGTCAACTAGAAACCTATCAGTCTTCGCTGTTAGGTAACATGACGTCGGGGGTCTGGGGAGTGGGGGAGATGAGACTCAGAAGGCCTTCTCAGAAGGCGGCGGGACTTCTCAGAAGCCCTCGCGCCTTCCGAGAAGCTTTCTGCGTCTTCGGGGAAGGCTTGGAAGGCCGGGGGACTTCCGAGCCTTCCGAGAAGGCCCGCCATTCTCATTTCCTCTCGGGTTCGCCGCCGAGGTTCGTCGTCAGTTGTCGCAGGTGAGGGTCGGCAATGGCATGCAGAGGGGGGTGCGCCGGGCAGGTTGTAGCATGGATTGGGAGGCAATGGATCCCGAGGACCGAGTAAGTGTTTTCCCCTTCTGATCATCCTCATTATCAGCAGTAGCACTCGCATCACCACCAGTTGCGACTTCCCTTGCTTCTCACGTTGTTCCTCCTCATGATCCTCTTCCTCCTCCTCCTCCTCCTCCTCCTCCCTCCCTCCCTCCCTCCATTCATCCCTGCCTTCCTCCCTCCCTCCTCCCCTCCCTCCCTCCTCCCTCCCTCCCACCCTCTCACCCTCCCTCCAACCCTCCCTCCCTCCCTCCCTCCTCCCTCCTCCCTC